GGTTTGGGGAGTGGTGGAAATGGAAGGATGATGTTTGGATTGTAAGGGAGACTCACGACATCACTTATGTGATGGTGTGTTTGTGGTGTTGTGTATGAAAATGAGATGGAGTGGGGAGTCAATGAATTGTATGAATGCATTGCATGGTTTTATAGGGAGAAAAAAGGGTGAATGTGCATGTGGCTGATTTAAAGAATGGGAGAGAATGGAAAAACAGCTAGGTTGTTGGTGGAAAGCTGGAAATGGGATGGGATGCCACGACACAAAGGGATTTGGCTGCTGGAATGGGTTGTTTTGCACGGCTCAATGAATGGGATTTGTTGTTGGTGTGTTATGCATGGCATGGTTGGGATTGTGGTGCAATGATGGAGGAATAAGTGTATGATGGTGGCTGAATGATTAAAGGGATGTTGCTAGGTTGGAAATGCATGTGGAATGGTTGGAAATGCAATGGGAGTGCACGACAAGGTTGGAGAATGAATGTGTGGCTGCATGGTTGAATGATTAAAGTGCATGTGGGTGAATATGTGGATGCAATGATGAAGTGGACAACCTGGAAATGCAAGGGGAATGCACGGATTAGAGGATTTGTGTTAGGTGATGGGTGCATGTGTTGAATTGGTGGTGCAATGATGAAATGGAATGTTGGAAAGGGTATGAAATGCACGGCAAAGGGTGATGTTGTTGGTGTGTGAATGCATGTGTTGAATTGGTGGTAGCTAGGGTGAATTATGATGAATGCATGTGAGTGACAACTAGGTTAGTTGGTGGAAATCTGAAAATGGCATAAGGGGTGCACGGCAAGGGAGAATGTTTGGTGCTTGAAATGCATGTGAATGCATGTGAGTGCATGTGTTGGTGGTTTTGCATGGCTTTGATGGATTGTTTGATTGGGCTAGAGGTTTTCCATGGCTCAAAGGATTTGTTTGATTGGGCTAGACCCTTTGTTTTATGTCCCAAAGAGCATACAAGGCTTCAATTTCGTCCATCCTCTTTGCTCCATGATTAAGCTATCCAATCCATGCCCAAAAATGCTCCAAATAGCCTCAAAATGCACTTTCTTGCTCCCTTTGCCATGAGGACCTAAAAACAAACGAAAATAGCTTAAACTACTAAAACAACTATGAATTAACAACATAAATGCACGAAAACAAGCTAAGTAAGTCGCCTAAATATGCTCCTATCATCGCCCCAGAATGATGAGTCGTCCTTAAAATAGGATTGGCCGTACCTAGCACGCGGGCTGGTACATTGAAGCGTAGCAAACCTCTTGGTTCAAAAGATTCATGACCCAGAGGAGGAAAACAACATAAACTAGTGAACCTATTCATGACCCAGAGGAGGAAAACAACATAAACTAGTGAACCTAGTGTGCATTCAACCATCACATACTCAACCATTCCAACGCATGAGGTTATTCTAGATTATGGAAATGTCTTGAACGAGACGAATCCACCTTCCAAGAATCATGAGATTTCGGTCCATTATGAAAATTTGGATGAGGTTTGGAATCAGACCGAGATGATAGTCAACGATGCCCTTGCCTACATAGTAGCTACTGATATCATGCTAAGTGACGACATTGAACCACATTCCGTTATTAAGTGTCGAAGTAAAACAGATTAGTCAAACTGGAAACAAGCAATCCAAGTTGAACTCGATTCACTTGCGAAATTTTGACCCATAGCTCTTACACCTACACATGTAAATCCCATTTGTTACAAGTGGGTTTTCGTACGGAAGTGTAATGAGAAGAATGAAATAGTGCAACATAAGGTACGCCTTGTAACGCAGTACTTCGCTTAACGCCTTGGGATTAATTATGAGGAGATGTATTCTCCCATAATGGACGTTATAACGTTCTTACTTTATCAGTTTAGTAGTTTCCAAAAAACTAAATATGTAGCTTATGGACGTGGTAATTGCGTATCTCTATGGGGATCTTGATATGGAAATCTACATGAAAGTTCCAGAAGGACTTACATTCACTAGATCAAATAGTTCTAGACCATTTAACACCCTTTCGATTCGACTGAAGAGAACACTATACGGATTGAAATAGTTTGGACAAATGTTATATAATCGTGTAAGTGAATATATAAGTCAGGGTTATGTGAACAATGAACTATGCCAATGCATGTTGATTAAGAAGTCATATTCCAGATTTAGGATCGTTGTAGCTTATGTCGACGTCATGAATTTTATTGGGACTCCTGAAGAGCTTGAGAAAATTGCCACACACTTAAAATTCGAATTTGAGATGAAAGATCTTGGGAAAACTTGATACTATATATCTAGGCCTAGAGATCAAGTATTGTTCAGATAGAATCCTAGTACATCAGTCGAACTACACTCAGAAAATGTTGCATTGTTTTAATGAAGATAAAGCGAAGCCTTCAAATACTTCTATGGTCGTTTGGACACTAAATGCTAAATGAGAACATTTCCGCCCTAAGGAGGATGTGGAAGAGGTTTTAGAGCTCGAAGTTCCATACCTAAATACAATTGGTGCTTTATTGTACTTGGCTCAGTGCACTAGACCATACATCTTATTCGTTGTGAATCTTTTGGCAAGGCACAACACTAAGCCCACAAATAGACCTTGAAGGGTGTTAAAGATATTTTTTGCTACCTTAAAGGTACAATGGGTTTGGGATTTGTTCTACCCCTATAAATCCTCTAGAGGAGCTACCACCCCTTGGTCCTTGGGTTGATTTTCTCCTTGTTGGTTATGCTGACGCATGTCATTTATTTAACCCACACAAGGCATGTTCTCAAACGGGTTATGTCTTTACCGTTGGAAGCACCGCAATTTCTTGAAGGTCTACCAAACAAACACTAGTTGTGACTTCTTGAACTATGCTGAAATTCTTGCCCTGCATGAAGCTACTTATGGATACTTTTGGCTGATATCAATAATGGAACATATTCGAAGTATTATCGGTCTTTCTTCCATCGTTGACATCCTTACAGTGATCTATGAAAACAACGCTGCATGTGTCGACCAACTTAAGAAATGATACACCAAAGGAGACAACACTAAGCACATTGTGTCAAAATTCTTCTTTTCACATAAACAACAGTAGCATTAGAACATTGAAGTCAAGCAAATTTGTTTTATTTGAGTATTTACACACTCAAGGGGGAGTGTTGCAATCCTACTTGTTTAGGAATATGATCATGTAAATCCTATTAAATCATAGGATATCCTTGTAGGATTTTTCCATATCTTATCTTTAGATATTATTCTATTAGAGTTGTAATCTTATTAGGGTAAGAAATTTACATTTCCTACTATTATAAATAAAGGCACAATGGGGTGAGATCAAACACACCTTAGAATTACAACAACTATCTCTTCTCTTTCTTGTCGCCACACCCCCTATTTCTCTGCCCTATAATTGTTTAGTTAAATAGGCTTACAACAAGTTGCTGTTTGATTTAGCTCAATTTTCTTATTTTTCAATTTTAATTAAATTTCTTAATTTATGCATCTTTAATCAAAATTTTAATTGAATTATTTTTTAAAAAAAATCTAACCTCTTTTATAAAAATAGTTAAAATAAAATTTAGATGTCATTATATGACACCTACACAATGGAGACCATCTGATGGTTTCGCTACAGTAGTCCATTCTTTTGAGGGTTGGAAAGGGAAAATTTGGAAAAGTAACTAAAATTTGGATCCCATATAGAATTATAGCCACATTTTTGAGTTTATGATAATTATAACCAAAAGTTGATATAAAAGTATTAATATACTCTTAAAATTAGATTTTCCTAAAGCACATTACGAAGGTATGTAGGTATATAGAATTGTGTGATTCGAACATGAAACCCAAGAGCAAATCAAGCAAATATAAGGTATACATTGAATCCATTATAGAAACTACATCTGGGTATCTTTGCTTCGTGAACCCGAAAGCTTCTTCTTTTGTACGGGCGGACTTTGAGGGATTTTTGGCCGTTGCAGCCATGTTTGTAAGCTGAGAAGTGGTAGCGGGGTCTTGGGTTTGTGTATGAAGGCTTCCTCATCCACATGTTTTGATGGAGATTTTGGGAAACAAACATTTTATTATTATTGGGTTAGAAATTGTAGAAAGATTACAATTTTATTAAGAACAAAAGGGTAAAATTAATAGATTAATAGCTCAATAATAATAAAATTTGGGAAAGCAGATCTAAAATTTAGTGAAGAGAGGGAGAAGTGGTAGGGTGGAAGTATCTATAAAAATAAATAAAAATTAATCTACCTATCTTCTATGGAAATAGTTCAAAAATTGCATCATCCATATATTTACAAATCCATACTAGTATATATGCTGATAAATATAGTACCTACAACATAGTTTAGTAAACACCTTTAATCTATGATGGAGTTTGAAGAAAAAAATTGAGATATGAGTTAGGAGCTAGAAAAATGAGAAACAATGTTTAATTCTTATATTTAATTCTAAATTTGTGTAAAAGATAAACTTATAAATAAAGAATGACATTTATCACAATTTGATAAAACAAATTATAAAAAATTTGAGGTAAATAATCAATGAATAGTCCTAATATAAGGGTTCGTTTGACAAATACTTTTAAATTATTGAAAGTATTTTTAGAGAAAAATTTTTAGTTCTAAAAGCATTTAAAGTTTATGCTTTTTTCAAGAAACACTAACTAAGTGCTTCCAAAAAGTACTTTAAGTGTTTTTCCTTGATTAACTTGTATTTTTACTAAGGATTGACTTAAAAAATATTTTCTCTAAAAGTGTTTTTAACCATTTAAAAGCACTTACCAAGTGGCTACTCAGTACTACAGTCTGGTAGTATTCTAATTCGCTTAGACCTAAGAGATCTTAGGTTCGAATCTCGTGGATAGCGAATTCGATACCAAATTAAGTTACCTATTGTATTGCTTAGCTGAACTTCTCATTCATTTAATATAAAAATATCGATGAACTGAAAAAAATGCACTTACCAAATCCACGCGGATTCGTAGCTGTGATTTGGATGAAAATGACGTCAATGACGTCGTACCACCGTCGCCACCACTATATAAAAATAAAACGAAACCCATATCCCGTTGCCAACCTCCTTCCTTCCGCCACTGCCCCTCCCTCCCTCGCCTTCTTCCCCCGGAGGCTTCCCGCCAGGTATCTCTCTCTGTCCAAACTCCGATAGTAGCTGGCCTAGTGTTTATTTCAGATCTGTCGCGTTGAATTTTAGTTATTATTTCCCTAATTTTAGTCAATAACCCACAAAATTTGTGTAACAGATCCGAGTCAAATGTTGGTTGGGTTTGATTTGATTTGATTTTTTTTTTTCTGGATTATATCTTTTGAATTTCTGGGAAGACAGAATTATGTGGTCAGATATTGTTTTGTAAATCGGTTTGAGCTGTCTTTACTATTCGCAAAACCAATTTTAAACCCCTAATTTCTGATGCGATTTTGGGCGACGACTTCTGATGAAATCGAAGCCGTCTCAGCTTGGATTTTGATGCGAAAAATTACGGCCTTTTTGGGGTGTTTTTAACCTCGAATTGGTGTATGTAACGGAGGAATCCTCTCAAAGGTGTGACTTATTAGATCTGTTGTAAAATTTTCTATCTTCCTGTTTGGTTGCCTAGAAAGTAGAAAGTACAGAACTATCAATCAAAACAATTAGGAGATGGGGGTAACGTTTCTGGGTTTGATCTCTTTCTGTGTTTGTTTCTTGATTTATCAAAGTTAAATCGAGTTTAAGTCCGTAAGATAAGCAATTTTAAGATTTTCTGTGGATCTAGAATATTTCTGGGAAAGTTGATCTGATTGTGTTTTTTCTGGTGGTGCTGTGTTGTTATGAGCAGGCGTTCTTTTGTGGAACAGGAAAGGTGTCGAAAATGAACCATTTCAATGTTCAGCAGCAGAACGCCTCTTTCGTGGGCTGTGAAGACATCCGAGGTTCTGCCTTGATGTCTGACACCAAGGAGCCTGTGATTTGCCCCAAGCCCAGGCGAGTCGGGATTTTGTCAAACAACCCCATTAGGCCCTTGCGGTGGCAGATGAGGTACTTTTTCCTCTCCAATGCTGTCCCTTCCACCTTATGTTGGTTATTATGTTTTATTTATAGGTTATAACATTTATCTTCTCTTCTTTGCGATTAGCAGTCATCAACCCGAGTTATGTGACTCAAAAGCTGGGGCAGAGCTTCTGGACCTTATTCTCAGGAAGGTAAAATTGTTACTTCTTTTCCTTATAATTAATTTTGGTTTCTATGTAAATGATGATCTGGATTCAGTTCATACGGATAAACGATTAAATGGTTGATCAAATTTGGAGCTGCACGCTATTTGATCTTACGCATTTTGCTTTTCCCTTATATAATAAATTGTGTAGATATCTGTTGCCAAATGACTGCACCACGGTGATGTTGTTGTTTTGTACTCGATGTTATGATATTATGATTGGCTAACATTTTGGTATCTACAGGAGGGTTATGGGTTGGAGCAATCATCTAACGAGGTTGCCTTATCGCCCCCATATTTTTGCATTTCCCCCCCTAGTAGGGCTGCTAACCCATTAATTCAAGATGCCCGATTTGGAGATGAGAAGCTCACTCCTGTTTCAGCATTGCCTGTTCCATCTCCATCAACTTTATCATCGCCACGCAAAGCAGGTTGTGTTAGAATGAAGTATGGGCTTAAACCTGCTGCAGCTAGAGTAGAGGGATTTGACTGTCTCAATAGGGATCGCCAAAGTTCCCGCATCCCAGCATTTGCCTAAACTTCATCGAAATAAGTGTACATATAAGGAGGAAAGCTAAATGCCACCACAGCTCACAAGTACAGCGGACTTAACAAGAAGAGTGAATTTTGACAATTTTTGGAGAACTTGAGATCTAGTAGTACTGTATATAGCGTATGTTGTTGTCGATGATCATCTCAGTTGCTAATATCTGCAAGTAGTTTGATGGGAACATTACAAAAAGAGTGTCGAACTGTCAAACCTTGTGTTATGGAAAAAGGGTTTGTATGTGTCTAAAGCCTTTGCTCTGTTGTAATGTAAGATGCGTCATAATTTTTCTGGCAATCACCTGGAAGAGTGTATAAAAGCTTAATGGTGATTTAGTTTGGTCTATTAATCTGTAAATGTATTTTGGTTATATTTTTGGATATAAATGTGTTCTGGTAATTTTCTGTACTTCCGTATTTGCCGGCTATGCTTTATCTTAGTCTTGCCTGTATCTAAGAAAAGCATCTCGCAAATGCCGATTTTTCAATGTGCTTGCTATGCTTGACTTACGTCAAATTTGTTATTCACGATAGTTGAACTTAGGGTTAATTACAAAAAACTACCTCAAGTATGGGTCAAATGACACTTTCATACCTCATCTTTTAAAATTGACAATGTCATACCTCATCTTACGAATTTGTGTCAATGTTATACCTTCCGTTAGTTTGACCGTTTATTCTCAGTTAAATGCTGACGTGGCTTGATCTGAGACCCATTTTTATTAAAAAATTAATAAAAAAAATTATTAAAAACAAAAAAAATCATTTAATATTATTTAAATATTAAAATAATAAAAAAATTATTTAAAAAAAAAAAAAAAAAAAAAAAACCAACGTCAATCTCCCTTCCCCCCCCCCCCCGCCCTCTCTCCCTTCTCCCCATCTTCATCTTCTTCCCCTTTCTGCAACTACAACCCAGAAAAACAGAAGAGAAAAAAAAAAAAAAAATCAATTTGTTTTCCTTGCTCCTCACCCCCTCTTCTCCCCACACCCACGCACCCAACCTCCCCACCTTCGCACCCCAACCTCGCACCCACTATCTACAACCCCTAAAAAAAAAAAAAAAAAAAAAAACCCAGAAAAAAAAAACCCATTCTCCTGGGCGAGGAGAAAATGGGCGGCGGGGGTCCGGGTGGGGGGAGGGGGGGTGGGGGAATGGGTGTGGAGAGGAGAGGGTGGGTGTGAGGGGGGCGAACTGGGTTGCTGCTGTTTGTTTTTTTTTTTTTTTTTTTTTTTTTTTTCTTCTTCTTCCCCTTCTGCAGAGGACGAACTGGGGGGGTTTTTTTTTTTTTTTTTTTTTTTTTTTTTTTTTTTTTTCTTCTTCTTCCCCTTCTGCAGAGGACGAACTGGGGGGGGGTTTTTTTTTTTTTTTTTTTTTTTTTTTCTTCTTCCCCTTCTGCAGAGGACGAACTGGGGGGGTTTTTTTTTTTTTTTTTTTCTTCTTCTTCTTCCCCTTCTGCAGAGGACGAACTGGGGTTTTTTTTTTTTTTTTTTTTTTCCTTCTCTCTTCTTCCCTCTTCTTCTTCTTCTTCTGCAGGGGGACGAACTGGGCTTTTTTTTTTTTTTTTTTTTTTTTTCTTCTCTCTTCTTCTGCTTCCCTCTTCTTCTTCTTCTTCTTCTTCTGCGGGTTAGGTTGGGGGGGGGGTGGGGTTGGGTGGGAGTGGACGGGTTTGCTGCTGGTTTTTTTTTTTTTTTTTTTTTTTTTTTTTTTTCTCTTCTTCTTCTTCTTCTTTCTCCTTCTTCTTTTCTGGGTTGCTGGGTTGCAGGAAGATGATGGGGATTAGAGAGGGGGAGATGCACGAAATAACCATGGACCTACAGAAAAAAAAAAAGAAAAAAACCCAGTTCGTCCCCCTGCAGAAGCAGAAGTAGAAGAAGAAGAAGAGGGAAGAAGGGGGGAAGAAGGGGGAAGAAGAAGAAGAGGGAAGAACAAAAAAAAAAAAAAAAAAAAAAAAAAAAGCCCCAGTTCGTCCCCCTGCAGAAGAAGAAGAGGAAGAAGAAGAAGAGAGAAGAAAAAAAAAAGGGTCTTTATAATTTAATATTTAAATAATATTAAATGATTTTTTTTGTTTTTAATAATTTTTTAATAAAAATGGGTCCCGCATCAAGCCACGTCAGCATTTAACTGAGAAATAAACGGCCAAGCTAACGGAAGGTATAACATTGACACAAATTCGTAAGATGAGGTATGACATTGTCAATTTTAAAAGATGAGGTATGAAAGTGTCATTTGACCCAAACTTGAGGTAGTTTTTTGTCATTAACCCTTGAACTTAATACTTCTTACTAACACGTAGAGGTTATTTTTCTTTTGTTGGTTTGATTGATCGTATATTTTAATCCCCTCAAATATGTTTGATCGTTGGTTACTCAAGCTGTAGAAATACTTTGCTATTTCTACAGCCAAGATCGGTTAGACATTTTTTATCCCAATGTGGTGTGAGCCCAGCTCCCAATACAAAGCTTCTGAGATTTAATCTTAAGATCTTTTACTTAAGTTAGGCTTAGGGGCTGAATAAGAATTCAAGAGTTTTAGGTTTTCCTAGCAAAGGAATGGTTACCATGTCTCTTTGTACCAATAGGGTTTGAGTGGTTGCCCATGATGGTGCACGTAGTGTTCGGGCAAAGATTTCTCTGGAGAAGGATCCTCGGACCTTAGCATAGCTCCCCAAGGGATTGGCACTATGGATGTGTAGTCAGGCTCTTGCTTGTTGATGTGCTTCAAGAAGAGGACATAACTAGTTCTGAAAGGTGCCTTTGTGGGGCCTTAGGTGTAGGCCTTGAAGCTCGCAATCAAAACTAACTAAGTGCTAGGTGTGCCACTGCTATCTCAGTATAGCAGATGTAGAACAAGTGTGTTTTTAGTCGATTACTTGCGCCCCAAATTACTCGAACTTCTTTTTATCAAAGGATTGTCGTGGATGGGTTAAGTCCACATTAAGTTCTTTTTCTTGCCTTGTAAACAAGGAATTTTAGTTCATGGTCTTGTATGTTCGAATGAAGGGAGTCCAGAGCCCCTTAAGTCATTTGTTTGGTCCTAGATTGCTTTTAATGAAGACATATCCATTAAACTAACCAGATCCAGATACAAATAACTCTTAAAGTAGGAAAGTAGGTGGATATGACTTGAATACATATTGGAGAATGCATTAAGCAATAGATCTATTAACTTAGAAAACAAACAAAGAGCTTTAGGCAAGATTTCACCTTGTATGGCAAGGTTGAACTTCTTGCAATTGCTTTTCTTTGAATTAATAGGGGTTTATATGCTAAAATGGGATCGATGGTAAACAAGTTTACACAAGGGAATCGATACTACGGCAGTGAGGGAGATATCAGAGCTTTAAACTGGACAAGAGATAACTTCATGCTAAAAAAGACTGAATCTGGGTTGATTTCAGCTTTTAGATGCAAATCTGGCTTGAGAGTAGAGTTTGTATTTTTGTTTGTTTGATTGGTTGAGTGTCCTTGTCTCTGGGGCCTCTTTCTCCTTTTATAGGTAATTTAGCTCGACTGCTGTAACTTTGTTCTTGCCCGAAAACACTTGGAGGGTAGTGAGTCATCAACTTTTTACTTGGAATGCCACTAGAAAATATTATTTGGCTGGTAGTAGGTTAGTCTCCATTACTTGTCCCTTCAATGGTAAGCACGTGGCTTATATCTTGGCTAAGAAGGCTTCAATCTGCCCTTGGGCTTGATGTTGGGCTTTGGGCAAGACCTCTTTTAGTTGGCATCCTTGGGCTTTCCTTCATTCAAATCCAATGTTCAAATATTAACCCAAATAGTGCCCCCTTTAATCATTGTTGAGTTTGCAAACCAAGGCGTTAATAATGATTAAACAACCGCCAACGCCTTCACTCAGGACTTGCGCCATTTAAAATAACCGTTGCTTAACAAAACCTAGCATTAACCCACAAATTCCAATGTTTAACCAACCACTCACTATATAAACCTCTTTTAAACTCTCTGGCTAAATACCTTAGTAATTTCGAGCCTTCAAATTTCCTGAATTTCCCAGCATCCTCAGAACTTTCATAATTTCCAGAAATTTCTCCTTGCTTTCTCAGTCATTTCTTCTAATTCCAACTTTTCTTCCCATATTCTTCTCAAAATTCTCAATGGCACCTAAAGTTGCTCGAACTCAATCTTCTTGCGAGACTAGTGAGGGGATCTCCACCATGCGCCGCTTGCTCAACGGCCTGCATTGCCCTTGGGTTAGCTTGGATACCGAACTTTTCTTCGATGAGGGAGGAGTATACTTCTTGGGGCTTGCATGGACACCTCAGGTCCCAATTGCAGTAGAGACCAACATGCCCAAGGAGAATTGGTATACCCTAACCCATTTTAGGCCAAGTCGGGTATTTCATCTTCTAAATGGTCAAACCATCGTCGCAGCTTCCCACTTTTGAAGGATGAGGCATGGACACAATGGATAAATGAGCTCGAGCCCATCTTTAAAAGGAAATAGATAGACAACGGAATTTATGAGCTGATAATGTTGTCCGAGTCGACTGTGATTGTTAAGCCTGAGCTACTTACAACGGCTCTCTTCTTTTGGAACTCAGGCACCAACACCTTCGACTTTAGAATGGGCCTCATGTCCCTGACCATCCTAGGCATGGTGCAGGTATTTGGGCTGAGGCCTTCGGGTAGAATCGTGGACGTTACCCATGATTGGTTCCTCTCTTTCGCCCGACTGCTGAGAGCTTAAACAGTTCTGCCCCCTTTCTTCAATTAGAGTATAACTCTGCAACCTTCAAGAGTTACAGAACTTCCTTCATGGGTTTTATCCCGTTTGCCAAGAAGGAGTTTGGCCCTTCTTCCTCCAACACCAACAAGGACCAAGAACACATGTACTTTCTCCTATACTGGCTCAATAAACATGTCTTCCCAAATAAATCTAAAGGAGTGAAAGTGGAATGGATTCCTTTAGTAGAAGCTTTTCACAACTTTGACGATGTAGCTATGGGCCCTTTCCTCCTTGCTTATCTCTATCATCTCTTGTATGAGATTACCAAGGATAAACCATTTGAAACCAACTTGAATGGTCCAACTTGGATGATTCAGCTTTGGCTTCAATGGTATGTCCTTGAGCTTCGGGCAGAGTTTGCAAGACTCGGGTAGATCTAGAATGAAGGGCATCCGTGCTTAGAAGATACCCTTGGTTTTCTGACCAAGCATTCGAAGACATCTTTAGAGAAGATGCTAGTCCCTTTAGCAGAGAGAGATTTATCAATTGTATTCAATCAAGGGACCTAGTTTGGGGAATAAGGAGTGACCGCTATGAGGGAGGGCTAGAGGTTTACCACCCCAACTTCTGTGCTAGACAGTTGGGTTTTAGACAAGCTATCCCGATGCCTTTCTTCGACTCTATTCATTGCAGTACCTCTTATCGTCTTCACTCTCCAC